GAGAGTTTTTTGTAGAACCCCCCCCCCCCCACCCCCACCATTTTATCCTGTGATCAGACCATTGGGGGGTGGTACACTTTAAAACCATTCTTCTCCCTGTTGTCCCCCCCGCTTTTTGTTTGTTTGTTTAGACCAAGAAAGAATGTGCGTTCTTTCAGATGTTTGGGGAATACTTATGACAAATGACTGGGGTTTGAAACCTGAATATGGCCCATACCTTTTTTTTTTTTTTTCCCTCCCCTCTCCCCCCCTTGCTTTTATCTTTGCTCTGGGTTATGAGCTTTATAACTTGCATGAATATGTGGGGAAAAAAAAAAAATCATGTATTTAATTCACATCACTCCTAGTCATGCCTCTAACATTTCTTACATGTGATAGATACCCTTTGCTGATAGTGGGTATAATCTGTAATACTAATTTATTTGAAGTTTTGAAATAAATGTAAAGAGCAAATCTTAGTTGAGTGAAGGCTTGATTGAAACTGTAAGTCAAAGGAACTGGTAGTGTAGTTAAACCTGACTTATTCCTCAAGTAAAGGCTTCCTCATTAGGTGGCTGGTTGGAGGAATATCAATTTATGGAACACTCATCTGTAACTGAAATCACTGCTGTTGTGCCTTTGGGTAGGCACTGTTCCTATTGTCTTTTGGAATTTTTTAAAAATACAAGTTTAGAACAAACAACAAAAACCTCCAAATGTATTCTAAGGAGATTACTTCTTAGTTGGGTATTTCATTAATTTCAATGTAGAAAGCTGATGGCAGAAAGGTGAAATCTATAATCTGGAGCAACCATTAAGTAAATTTCTTTCAGATGTCTCTCAACAAGGTCTACCTTAATCAGAAGGTGTCAGGACAGGTTAAATAAGTCTATTTAATGGCAAGGAGACACCAACATCCCAAATTCTGATTTACTTTCAGCCTAGTCAGCCAGTGAGGTAAGCATGCTCCCTGCCTCTCAAATACTTAAATGTTTAAATTCAGAAGTTAACCAGGAAATAGGTAAATACATAAACACAGTGATATGTATAGCCTAAAATTAAAAGCATCTGTAGCATTTATTTCTAGCCAAAAGAATGTGGCTTAAATAATAGGAAATAATGTCGCATTCAGTTAGTACCAAAGTTGAGGATCACCTTGCAGTGGTCTTAAATGACTGCGCTGCCTATGGGCTGGCAGTTTTTTGATTTATTTTTTTTTTTAATGTAACATGCAAAAAGATGATTTGAATTGTTTTGTTTCTTAGGTATTAAAAGGAAATGTGTCTTCTGTTTAAAATAAATGACAGACTGGATTTTTCTTCTAGATAGTTTGACTTTCTTTAAGCTACAAGGATAAAGCTTTTCACATTTTAGAGTGCTTATGTATTTTGGGAAAAAACTGTTAAGTATATGCACAGAACTTGAAAAAGTGCTTGAAGAAAATTGTTAAGGTATAAGGTAGCATTTGTTTGAAATAAATTGCCATTACTGCTCAAACACGTATTCAGCAAAACTTTGCTAGAATATTGACTGGACACAGCAGCAATTATAGTAACATGGTGGGCATCCGTATATATGTAAAGAAATGTATCTGTACCTATTTTATAGCGTTTAAAAAAAACTACTTTGGAATACTGTATACTTTTTAATCATTTACTAATGATAGTAATTGTTTCACCCTAAAAAGGAAAAAAGCTACAGTGCAATTTACCATGTTACTCCTGCAACACAGCAAACTGCTAAGTGGTAAAGTTTTAAAATTTGGTTTGCCATCAGTTTTGATTTCAGTTTGTCAACAGCACAGTCTTTAGGATTTTAGGACCAATTTTTCCTGCAATTTTCTCCTGCTGTTTACTACAGGAAATTTTCTGCTTTTCAGCAGAATGCGCATAATGGTAAACTTGCAGAAAATGGTGATATAGTAAGAAACTTGGAAATATCTGATGTCCAATGAATTTAAAGCAAATGAATCTTACTAGTAGAAAGTTTGAAAATCAAATAAAATTATAAAATTAAAAAGATGGTATTGGCTTTATATATATTTATATAATGGGGAATAAAATCCCTACATTCCCACAACAGCATTCAAGAACTTGCATAATGAAAACATTTTCCTGAGGAATCTGCATATTCCACTGGGAGTTTGTAGGTGATTCTGTTGGGAAGGCTTTTTATTGGTATCAATCTAATTGGTAGGTTTTTTTTTTTAATCTCTTCATCTTAATATTCTTCTAGTAAGATTCATACTTGTTTGTCCTCATTAATGAAAAAAGGCAGGTTTATTTTGGCCATTTCTTCTTTGTGCCTATGTAATATTTCTGATGCTTTCCTATATAACCAAGTTAAGTTCTGTGTTGTTTGTTTTTTTTTTTCCTGCTGTCTTCTCTGTCAATCTCCCTCATTGCTTTTAGTCCAATTCATCATTCCGGTGCTGCACCCGCTCACTGGCTGAAGCCTTTCTGCTCTCAGGTGACTTTTTCCGCTTGCCAGTTCCAAAATTGTGTGACTAACACTGTTGTTTGACAGCATTTCATTGCACATTTTTTTTAAGACTTTTGGAGCAAACTGTGTGTGTCTGGTATATTAATGGATGCGAGCTTTGGCATGATCATTTAACCTGTTGCTGAGTTCATGGTTCTAGAAAAGGTAACATCTACACTCTCTGTAGAGAATGTTTTTCTCTCTGTGTCTGTGCATGTACACTTCCTTGTGCCTTCAAGGTAAGTTAGGCAAGTACATTGTTTCTTGAAAGAACTGGTTAAAGCCTTATTTCTTTCAAAGTATTGAAGGAAAGATTTAAAATAAGGTCAGGACAAGATTAGCCAGCTGATTCTCCTGGTTAGTGTGAACACCTGTTTCCACTGAGCTCAAATACGCAATGAGCAAATTTCCACTGAGCTCAAATATGCAGTGAGCAAGCAACGTTTGAGCGCTGTGGGACTTTCTAAGCACTTCTTTCCTTTCATACTGTAAAAGGACGATATAAAAGGATTCTGCTGAAAAAGTAGCCAACGCGATACAAATTCCAGTCTTCCACCCCAAGTAATGTAGTAGGCAGGCCTAACAGCAATAGATGTGCATGCTATTTTTAGACTGTAATATCAAAAGGCCAAGTTTATATAACCAGAGTGTTTTGGTTTGAATTGTTTTGCTAACTAATTAACTAGGCCCCATTTGCCACTCTGATGAATGGATTTGTCCTGCTGCATGAGACACTGCCACTACTCCCCATGACAAATTTGTGCGATTATTTTGTACGTATTTTTTATTTAAGTTCCAGTATCAGTAAACACATGTTGATAATCTGGAAGGGGAAATGAATCCAAACAAGAACCAAGGGCTCAGTCTGACAAGCAAGCGTGCTAAGGTTTTGGTTGATATGGCCACGACCAAGCTTTCCCTGCTGAGGATCCCTTTCAAAGGGAAGAGCCTTCGGGAATTCATCTAAGCAGCAATTTTCAGGAGGGGCAAAACATCCTCTGCCACTTGCCCCATTTCACACGCCTCAGCCAGGAATGCAGAAGGGCTGGAGGGTCAGAGCCCCACACCTTATCTTGCTGACCTGTATGCTTGCATGACTGAGCAATGGTATTTATTTGTGTGGGTATCCTAAAATGTCTTGATGGCTTTGAAAGTCCCTGTGCTGTGCCCACACAGAAAGCTCTCTGTACTTTAAGTGTCACTTCCTGCACAAATGGTTAGGATGTGACTTCCTATGTATTTCAGGGCTACAGTGTTTTGTTTCAAAGCTCAGAATGCTTTGAGATGAAGGTTATGATGTAAAGGTCTGCCATTTCAAACCACTCCCATCGCTGTGTTTTTTACCCTCTGTTGCAGAGTCTTCCTGGCCAATGAGGATTCTGTCTTTCTCTTCCTAAATCTTCTGTCTTCATTTTACTTTATAATCTTAACTGAATATTTTTATTAAATAGTTTTTAACGCTGTATTTAAATTTTCACATGGAAATTCTGTATTTTGCACACAGTGAAAATTGTTTTAGCTTTATTTATGATATCTGCTGTAAACAAAAATAAATGTAGTTCTTTATAAGCCTCCTTGTTTCATCTTTTCCTTTTAAAAATGTTTCCTGAGGACAGAGAACTTAATAGTGACTTCGCACTCATTTCGCAAATTCCTCTTCTGGTGGATGCTGTTGTGTTACCTTTGTGAGGGCTGACCCAAAGGCCAGAGTGTTTCACTGTGGTGGTATAATTGCACGTGTGTCCCTTTTGAAAGGGATATACGTCGGGGTCCTTGACAAGTTATCCCATCCGCTGCAGATCAGGAGGTGCCTGGTGTTGGGATTTATCCTTCCTGGGAATGATAAATTGGTGTTGGTTGTATTGCATACACAAGTGGCACTTGTCCTCTACTCTTTGACTTCTGTTACCTTTCCTTATGTTTTTATTTTATATATTAACAAATGTCATAAAGGTCATGCTAAGTTACATGTGTTTGGGATCTTAAATCATGTACAGGAAAAGCCGGTAATAACTGTGGGTAAAGCTTTACCTTTGCTGCTGGCTCTAGAGTGCTATTTGCAAGCTCCCTGTATCTTCTGGACCCCTGGAAGCTGCAGCTAATGGTGACCTGTTATCTGTTAACAGTGGCCTTGTTTCATTTATTTATTTATTTATTTATTTATTTAGTCTTCCTTTTCTCTGTCATGGCTTTTTTTAATTTTCTTTTTTGTTTTTAAAGCTGGTGTTATGGTTCTCTTTAAATGGCAGGTTCTCCAAAAGAGCTTTCCTAAGTCTTCCTCCCCTTCATGTCCTTTCTTTTGCTTGCTCTGAAATTCTTAAGCTATAATCTATTCCTTTGTATTTAAAAAAAAAAAAAAAAAAAAAATCCCAGAAAATATAGTCCCAATAATTTAATGGAAAGATTGTGTGATTTTTTTTTTTTTTAAAGTTAATTCAAACTGAGCCTCACTAGGGTTGATTGAATGACAGAAATGATTTTTTTTAAAGTGTTGCTAAAGACAACATTGCTAAAGAACAACAAATGTTATTCCCAAGGAACTATTCCTTTTTCCCTGCCAAAGAAAAAGCCACCATGTGCAGCAGAAAGTTTGCTGTCTGAGGGGGAGATGATTTGCATAATGAAAATATAGGGCAATGAATACCACTTAAGACAATACTTGGCACTTCTTTAATTGCAATGGATAAAGCAGTTTGGGTAAAACTAAATTTACTCTCTGCACAATTTACAGTTTTGCAGCAGGATCATTTCTGCCATCTTTTTGATCATTTTAGGCAGAGGCAGTGGCATGGAAACATAAGAGGTTTTTGTGTCTGCAGAAGGTGACGGTTTGTTTGGCACTGAAGCTTTGAGAGGCATCAGATGTTCGTGCCGTTCTCATAAAGTTTCACTTATTCCTGCTAAAATATCAGTACAATAGCTTGGAATTGGGATAACGCTAGAGCCTAGATTTGTAGTAATTGTGTTGTTTGTTGTGGCACAGAAGGCCCAAAAAGTCAAATTGCTACCAAATCCTATCACTAGAGGAAAATACCTAGTAGTAAACAGTCCATGCCCTGGAATGCTGGTGGACAAGGCAAGACACAGTGTATGGAAAAGAAATAAAACAGACAAAATGAGCAATGTGAGGGGAGCAAGATTGTTAGTTCCCTCACTCTCAGTCAAAATCATTACACAACAAAACAAAATATTCCTCGTTTTGCTCCCAGCAATGCTGCTAGAGGAAGAGACTGGGGGGGTTATTTCTGACTGAATTTAACAAGCCTAATTTGGGATTCCTGTCTTCTTCTGGCCATGCGAGCAGACCTCCCTGTGAGTAGGAGGCTTAAATCCTCCTACTGCTCTTGAGCTGAGCTCTCTCCAGTGCTCTCAGTCTCCAGCAAGCACATGCTGTTACAAATGCACCCCAAAACAGTAATGCTTTGTCCCTTTGTATAGCTGGAATTGGCAGTGGTGCTTGTTTGAAAGGCAGACAGGCTGCTGCTACTCTGGTCTCGAGCTGCTGAACTGGGTGTCTTCCAAAAATCATGGTTTTGGAGCAGATGCTACTAACGTCCCTTTTTTACGTAGCTAATGCTTTCTAAGACTTGAAAGCTACTTGATGGTATAGATGCCATTATAGCACTAGAAGTGCAGAGATGACATTTGCTGTGTCTGGCAGGCTCAGGAGTTGCTCTGTCTTTCCTCCTCTTCATACTGGTTCCAGTGGGTTCTGAACTTTCTGTTGCCACCAGGGCCATTTGGATTGGAAATACTACACAGATGTGCTTTTTTTGAAAAGCCAAACTAATCTTTCCTTCTCAAAGCAATGCAGCATTACCTGCCTAGATGTCTGTTAATGAAAAGCAAACATGTTGGGTTTCTGTAAAGGTAACCTTCCTTTATTATATTGATGCTAATGCTTTATAATGAAAAAGATCTTGCAGGTTTTAAGCGTCCTTGATTTTAGGGGGGAAAAAAAAGTACAGACAAAACTTCTTAAAATTGCTCAAATTCAAATGTCAGCCTTTCATTAACTCTACCAAGAAGAGTAATTTCTATTCCTTTTGGCTGCTTCTAGGCTGCTACGGCTATAAAATGCCAGTGAAATTTGCCTCTGTATGTATTCCAACCTCAAGCAAGAGCTATGGTCTGCGTTTTCCCACACCATTATGGCAATTAGTTACTATAATTGGCTTTAATTCATTTCTGGCTCACTCATTCCTCACATTCCAATCAAAACAATGAGTTCTGAAATTCACTGAATTCTGCATTAATATTTATGTTTTCGAAGGCATGACATGTTTGCAGATGACTTGATTTTTTTGCATGAAAGATCATGTCACTGAAGATCAGAAGACATTATGTATTAATGCTTGATCCAAGTATATATTTTAGTCATGTAAATATTTCCCCAAGACTCTTTCCTTTTCTTCATGAACTGTGTTAACATAAAAAGAAGAGAGGCTTTGATCTCATCTCATCAGGTGGTGGGCTCCAAACTTGTTTGAAATGGCTGGAATTTCTGATATCTTCTTTTGAAATGTTGAAATTGCAAAGAAATTTGCATGTTGCTGTAGTCTTGAATTTGCTCTTTCAGCATTTATTCTGCAGGTATTAATTCACACCTTTGTGTTAAGGTTTTTGGTGCTTTGAGTCTGTGTGCAAAAAACTTTTTTCGACAGGCACCAATCACTCTAGAGACTGAAACTATTGTGGCTGCACTCCGAATTCACAATTATTACATGCATTAATATACCAGACTAACACAGATTGCTCTGATTGATCATTTACTCTAAAATGATAGAAATAGTGTGTTGTTATAGCAGTTTTTGTTTGAGAAGCAAGTTTCCATAAATATATACATTCGGCATACCTAGTAGGTTTTCAGTGAGTTGCTTTTTCCTTTATCTCTATTAATTTTTGCTTAGTTTGTATTAGAGCATTAATGTGCACCGTCCCGGATGCATTCAAGTCATGTGCTCTGGGCTC